GGACTGGTGGAGGAGGCTGCAGTGCTAAGTGGGGGATGGGGATTTTAACTGGCATGGGTACGAGCTGCAATCTCTGGCTCCATTACCTGATACTCGAACCGGCCTCTTTGCTCAGTCCCTGAGGAGCTCAGCACCTTGGTCCAGTAACTACTTGGCTGCCTGTGACGGGAAGGCTGTGGCGGGTTATGGCTGCATGCTGAGCGGAGAGGATGCCAAGGGTTTCCATTAGCTTTAGCTTCATTACAGCGCCGATAGGTGGGCCGGCTGAGTGCAGCAGCTCGGGGCGGGCCCGGGGTGCAGCAGGAGGAGGGAGCAGTGCGGGGAGCAAAGCGGGCAGCTGGCTTAGGTAAGATGCCAAGGTGGATGCTGTGGCTTGGGCAGGCCTGGCTCCTTGCTCCATAGCCCCAGCTGACAGGGCAATGCCTGAGCCCTCCCTTTCCCACAGCACTGCAATGCAGCCACACCGTTCTTGCCACCGCGACAGCCGTGCTGGGCAGGGGGCTCCCCAGGGGCTGGGGGCTCAGTGCCACTTCATGCTCTTGCTTTGAGTTTATCTCCAGGGAATCGACTGCTGGGAAAGGAGCCCAACAGGGCATCCTGGCACGGGAATTCTTCTGTCCACAGAGCAGGTCTCCCGTGGGCAGCGTGAGCTCTCTGCCCTACCCCGTACATACCTCCACTGAGACATGGAAGGGCTGAGAGGGGGGTCTGACTCCACAGCCTGCTTGTTCACCTGCATCTGCTGAGCCTGCCAGCATGGGGGCATGGGAGGGGGTGTTGTGATGGGGGCATCTGTCTGGTAGAGTCTCTGTTAGGGCAAGGGATTTGGGGCGTTCGAGCTGAACTGGTCTCCTAGAATGTCTGTCTGTCTGCGTCGCCCTGCCCCACCCCTCTGTCTGTAGGTCTGTCCGTGCCGCCCTGTCCCACCTCTCTGTCTATGGGTCTTCTGTGCCGCCCTGGCTACCCCTCTGTCTGTAGGTCTGTCACATTCTGAGTGCATTCTCACCTTAGGTATCACTCCAGCAGACTTCTGGTCGGGGAGGGCTGCGCCAGCTCTCTGCTTTTCCTTCGTGTCATTCTCCTTTGCCTAGTGTCTAGGGGATATCCCTCCATCCCCAGCCCCTTCATGGAGACCTGATCTCCCCCCATTTTATCCTCACCTCTACAGCTTCACGTCTGCCCAGCTGTCTTGGGCTAGCCTGGATCATGAGATTCCTTTGCTGGCTTGAGAGAAGAGACAACTGCTGAGCATGCCTTCTGCCCTCTCTCCTCCCTTCCCTCTATGTGCTACCTCCATAGAGCAGCTTGGGGGGCCAGTGATTGCAATGTATGTGCTCACTCTAACAAGCAGTCCTACCCTCTTCATCAAATGTGTCCAGGAGGGCTGGGGTGGCTGCTGCTCTGTGATGTATGGAAGGGAGCCAGCTTCTGATCTGCAGTAAAGACTCCAGCCTATAAACTTCTGTAAGAGCTTAATGTCCAAGTGGCTGCAAAACCCACAGGAAGGAAAGGCACTGATTAAAAACGGATAACGCTGCCCAGAAACTGCACACTCACTCCTGGCTAGAAGTCACCAAGCGCTTTTCATCGCATGCGTGTATTGGTGTTGCTGTGTGTTGTGCTGCTTGGTGTGTTTGTGTTTGTTATAGGCTACTGTTTGTGTGCGGAATTGTGGTTTTTTGCGTTGGTGTCTTACAGTAATGTGCATTAAGTGTTTGTCTATTGTGTTGATGTGTGTTTACATCACGTTGATGTGGGTCTGTTGTTTTTCTCTGTGCATGTTGCTGTGTGTGAAATCGGTTCTGGATTTGTGTGACACAAACATGCCCAGGCAGGTGTGTTCCCTGTGTCCAACCATCTTCAGTGGTTCACCAATGGGGGTCACATGTGGTCTCTGCCCAAAGCTAGGAACCAATGACCATGACAATGCTCATACGATTCCAGAGCTATGTTAAGTGGGACACTGTGTTCCAATCAACATCTGTGGAGCCAGCCCACATCTTGTGTTTAGTGGCTGGACCAGATGCAAGCTTGAGCCTGTACAAGGAAAAAAGACCCCCAAGAGAATAGGGGACACCCCTGGGCTAGGGAACAGTAGTCTGTAAGTGTACAAAGGAAGAAGACCGGGCAGAGGATGTTGCTCATTATGGAGGAGACGCTGGCAGCAGGAGAGGCTCATGAAAGGTGGATTGCCCCTGGGGAAGCATTGCAAGGACTGACCATTGGGTGAGAAATACCTTATTAGCTGGGAAAATAACTCACTAAGAAGTACAGGCTATCGATTGCACTTCGTATATTTTTACCTGTAACCTTGTGTTTCCAAACCCTTACACTTGCTTGTATTTGAAGCTCTGACACACTCTGAAATAGACTTGTTTGGTTTTACCATAGACATGTCTGAGTGCCTTGTGCTAAAGAGAGCGATGGGCTGCGGTGAAACCAGTGACGTGGGGGGCACTGCTTCCCTGAAGGAAGTAGCTCACTGTTCCCTGGGGGTGTCCAGAAGACAAGGGCCGGGCCACTGGAGCGTAACAAAGCGGGGTGTAAATTGCTCGCTTGGCTTGGGAGAGAGTAGGGCTGGTGGAGCCCAGAGCACAGCACCAGTAATTTCCCCTGGTGGGCACAGACAGTGCCCCTCTTCCTGGGAGCAGGTGGTCCTAATTCACCCCAGGCCCCTCGGGTAACCCTGAAAAGTGTCACCGGGTGTTATACAGCAGTGTGCCTCTGTGTGGTATGCGTTGTGTTTACGTTCTGATGTGTCTCTGTGTGCGTCTTTCACACAGCGCTGGGCCTCCATTAAAGCCTTGGGTCAGCCGCTCCGCTCAGCCGGGAGAGCTCTGGCTCGCCTCTGTTTGCATTTCAGACTCCCCTCCAGGGGATAGAGAGTCCAACAACATCATTCAATGTCCCCTCTCCTGTTTCACAGCTGTGCTCTGGCCTGCGAGCTTTACGGCCCCCACCCCACCTCTAGGAAACCAGGCTGCCCTGTGAGAGCGCAGCTGTAGATAAGATTCTGTAGATCTAGCAAAAATCCTGCTGCCCAGCCAGCTAGCAAAACCTCAGTGCTTGGGCAGTGCCGGGGGACTGGCCTTTGCTAGAGCAGAATCTGACTTCTGTATCAACCGTCACAGCACAGAGCTGTTCAGCAGCTTGTCCAGGGGGCCGTTTGGGGGCAGGGCAGATCTGGAGGCGTGTGCGCTGCCTAAGAATAGGCAAAAGGCCAAGGTGCAATAGTCCCAGCGGCATCTGAGCTCCTGGGCCTGTGAGGTTGCTGGGCCTTCGCTTCAGCCTTGCCAAGAACTTGGGGCATTTCACCAGTTTATGCTCAAGCCCAAGGGCCCGGCCCAGGGTTGAGCCTGGGCTGTACGCAGTGCAAAGGTGTGTTGCTCACCTTGCCTGCGTTAGAGCGTGCTCCATGAGTGCAAACTGCCGCTTGCCTGTGTACACGAGGGGTGCGCCGGTGCTGCTGGAACCGTGTCCGAGTGACTGATGCTATGGCGGAGGCAAAGTCTGTGTCAGCTTGGCGTCCTCCTAGCATCCCCGGCGCTGGGGCCATCCAACCACCAGCCCGGCCTCTGTCAAGTAGAGCAGTCTCAGGGCTATCTATTTTCTTCCAGTCGCTACTGGCGAGTGCTACAGAAGCCCTGCGTCATCTAAGCACTCCTCAATGCAGGAAGGAGGTGTCAGCTGCTTTTGCACTGGCTGGCTTGTGCAAACAGCCCAGCAGGGAGTCTGGGCCCTGTTTGGGAGTGAAAACAGGCCTCTCTTTTCCCATCAGACCAGTCCGCCTGTGGGAGTGCAATAAGATGACTCCTACACTGTTGACATTTTTGCACCAGGGAAGATTAACATTTCCATGGAAACCAGGGAAACGTCACCACAAAGGGAGCCCCTCATTTGCAAAAATGGGGCCAAAACTGAACTGGGAGGTGGCTGTGGCTTCATCCAAGTCTGTGTAGGGCCGTGGGTGTGGGTGTATATCTGGGGGCAGGGGGAGTGGCACAATGTTGTGGGTGGGGGTAGAGGGAGGGATGTGGCAAAATTTCAGTCGGTGCTAGCTTTTGCCCTGCCCGATCTGGGTCTGCAGCGAACGTGGCTAGGTGCTGCATGGCCCTTGCCTTACGCTTTGTCCCCCCATTGCCACCTGTCAAACGCCAGCCCATGGCTCGGCCTTCCCCCGGCCTTGCTGTGAGGGGAGGGTTTGAGGCTCCCTGTGCACAGCAGAAACTGACAACTCAAGGTGCAAGGCAGTGGGACTCCAGCCAGGAGAGTCGCTTCCCCGCTCCCTTTCTTGGGGTTTCCGTGGCCCAGGTGCTGGCGCCAGGCCGGAGCAGTCCCTCCTATCTGTCTGCGCGTGCCTGGGCCAGAGGGCATGGGGCCCTCAGCCCAGTCAGCCTCATCTCCGCGGTTAGTCGTTGCTGCCCTAAGTCTTGTCCCATTGGGCGGGGCCGGCTTAGGCGGTGGTTTGTGCAACGGTTCCCCTGCCGTGTTCACATCTGCTTCCAGTCCTAGGGCGCAAGGTCTTCAGCCCGTCCAGCCGGGATGGGTTTGGGCCCTGATCCTGAGTGCCCCACCTCCCACCCCCTGATGCCAGCAGGAGGCTGTTTGCACAAAAGAGACGCCGGCAGCAGGGCCCTCGTTGCACAGGGGGGTGGAATGCGGGGAGCGTCAGGGGGTGCACCTGGGACCTCCCATGTGCGGGATGCCCCTGGAGGGTAGCAACGTGGGCTGCCATGTCCCTAACCGCCCCAGGCACCCAGCGATCACCACCGTGGGTGCAGTGGGTGCCATTAACGCCCTCTTGGCATCTCAGCGGTGCCGGGGCTACGGGGCAGATGGGCTCGAAGGGCTCTTTCCTCTGCACCTGGCCCCCAGCCAGGCCCGCCTGGCTCCCACTAGCCCAGGCTGTGAGCCTGCCAGGCGCTGACAACAGGCCTTGGGAAGCAGCCGGACTGCAGAGGGCAGGGCCGTCCCCACTGCAGGGGCTTGCAGGGGGTGGAGCTGGGCAGGCAGCCCCACTCCTGATTCGCGGGGACGCCGGCGCCTCCCTACCCCAAACTGCAGGCGCAGCGCGCACCAGAGCAGAGCGGCGCAGGAGGAGAAGCAGGAGCAGGAGCAGGAGCGGGCGGAGACTGAGCGCAGCCCCCGGGCAGGTGAGGATGCGGGGCCGCTGGGGTCCCCTGGCCCGGGCAGCCCGGAGCGGGGGACGCAGCTTGGGGTCTGAGCTGGGGGAACGAGGCGGCGGGCAGGGGGCGAGACAGTGCAGCAGCCGCTCGGCAGGATCGCAGCTGAGAGGCGCAGGGAGCTGGGGGCGGTGATGGAGAGCCGGGGAATTGGGGCCGGGGGCTGGCTGCTCTGCAGAGACGCAGCCCCGTGTCCGTCTGATTGTCTTGCTCGCCAGCTTTTGCCTGCCCCGCCCCGCCCTCTCTCCAGCCTGCTGGGGATGGGGTTCCTGGCCCAGTGCAGCGGGTTCCTTTGCCTTTTCCCCCAGCTCCTGCAGGGAGCAGAGAGAGTGGAGCCGGGGCAGGCTCCCGGCGGGGTGAATAATTGCATTGGTCCCCCCCCCCCCCCCAGCTCTGCAGGCAGTGCTGCGGGGACCCCATCTGGTAGTGCGACGCTGCGGATGCTCCCAGAGCGCTCAGGACTGCAGTGGCGAGCCGTGGCCATGCACCAGTGCAAAGCCCAGCCGCTCCGCAGTCCCGGCGCCGCAGGCTGCGCCGCAGAATGGTGCAGTGTCTCTCCCCGGCGCGTCGCTGCAGCCTGCCAAAGGGGGCATGACTGCAAAATACTGGGGCGTTGGTATGGGGGGGGAGCAGCCGGAGAAGCCAGGAGAATGAGGGAGATAGAGGGTGACCCAGCAGGGTGGGGTGGGGTGGTGGGAGAGGGTGGATGGTCTGGCTGCAGATCAGGGCTTGGGAGCAGATTGTGGGAGGGGCTCGGGATGAGACAGGGAACCCCTTCCCCGCCTCTCTGCCCCGTGCCCCTCTCAGCCCACCCCTGCTGCCTTCCTCCTCCCCCATCCCTTCTTTCCTCTCCACCTCCTCCCCTCTGGTGACTCGACTCCCAGCTCCCACCCGGATGAGACAAGAGCAGACTGGATCCCAGAAAGCACAGCCTGGGGGGTGCTAAAAACGCTGGAACAGAAATAAAAATAAACCAGGCCCTGTAATCAGCAGCACACTCACTTGGGGGTCACTAGAACCCCCCAGGAGCGGGACAGCCATGGGGGGGCCAGAGGACACATTGCATTCAACTTGCAAGACACCTTGGCCATCGAGGTTCCTGGGGTCGTCCGCTCAGCCAAGCAGGTGGCCATCCCTACACACGCCATTGCAGATCTTCCGGGGGCCAGCCCCTGTGCAGTCTCTCTGCCGTTGGGGTTCAGTTCAGGCTGCCCCATGGGCGATGGGGGGGGTGTCAATATTTTGGCGAGCAGAGGCCAGTTGCTGGGCAGGAGGTTGCCTAATAAGGCCAGTCCTCATGTCGAGATTTCACTGACATTGGAAATTGGTTTACTTACCTGCCGGGATCTGAGCTCTGCTCCCCTGCTATAGCCCGTGGGCCATCAGCACCCAGCCCAGCCTGTCCCCGTGGGGGGCTCAGGATGTGTCAGGTGGGTGTGGGCAGGGCTGGAGTCAGCAGTTTTTGTTACCACGCCCATCAGGGTGGTGGCTGAGGTTGGAGCGGGAGCACTGGTGGCTAGAACTCCTGGGTTCTCTTCCCAGCTCTGGCAGGGAATGGCTAGCAATTAGGAGGGCACTGGGAGCAAGGACTCCTGGGTTCTTTTCCTGGCCTGGCTGCTGACTGGCCATGTAACCTTGGTGGTTACATCCCCTCTCTGTGTAACGAGGCAGGTGATACCTGCGCTCCGCAGTAGAACACCTGGAGAGCTGCTGATGACAGATGCTGTAGGAGCAAAGACATCTGTGGTCACCACGCTATGGAGTCCCTGGGGCTGGGTTCATTGGAGTGGGGGGATGTTTTCAGGCCCCCGGGGGTGGGGAGGGGAAGCAGAGGGACCTTGCTGCACATGCTCAGGATATGGCTGCTGGTGGAAGGAATAAGGAGAATTTTTATAATTAAACAATTTTTTTTCTTTTCTAAATGAGAAGGGGTCGGGGGAGTTGTCTGGTTTTTAAATCAAGGAACATTGCATGTTTCCAGATCGGGGGCTGCAAACGGGGGAGGGTGTCTGTGAATGGACACCCCCCCCCCACACACACACACCCCCACACACGTATCTTGAGCTTGGGCCTTACTCAAACCAACATAGGAAGCAGGGGAGAGCTGCCTGCATTCTCCAGGCCCTGGGGAGCTGGGTCAGGACTGCTCCATTCCTGCCCTGCCCCCCGCAAGCACACACAGCCACACCCTTTGCACCCACATCCCTTTTCTGTCACACTCTCACCCACCGGCAAACAGCCCCCTTTTCCCCATCTCTGCCACACACACATTTCTAGGGCTGCCAGCCCCCAGCGCAGCCCAGACACGCTCCCTTCGCATCCCCCGCCTCCTCTCAGCCTCTCGATCTCTTAGCAGCTCCTCCTGTGACAGTGCTGCGGTGGAAAGCGGCGGGCTGCGGACCTGACGGGCAAGCCGCTGCGCCCCCAACCCCCGTCCCCAGCAGGACCGGCGGGCAGGGCAAGCCCCTTCTCCCCAGCCAGGGTGGTGGGAGGGGGGAATGCAGGTGGAAGGGGTGGGGAGGGGCCCCCACTTGCTTCGGCTCAGGGACCCACAAACCCCTAATCCACCTCTGTGCAGAGGGATCTGGAAAAGATGGGTGAGGCTAGGGGCTTGTCCTCATTGCAGCACTGACTTCAATGTTATCCACAGCTTGAGTCCCGTCCCCATGCAAGGGAGACGTTGCTTCTAATTAGAGTTTGGCCCACTCATCAGCTGCTCACACAGCTGCTGTGTGCGGCGCAGTGGTGGCTCTCCCTGGACCTAGGCTAAGCAGAGATATCGCTGCATTGAAGACAGTAGCCGAAGAGAGGAGCAGGGACTGTAAGGAGCCCAAATGCGGCCACCCAGGGCCAATCTGGGCCCCGTTTAGGCGCCGATCCACCACACACATACCCCTGGGATTCATTTGCACTTTGGGAGGGAGTAGGATTTGGTGCCTAGGGTGAGTCAGGAGATCTCTGGGAGTTGCCAGAGGTAAGCAGAGTCGATCGAATGCATAGGGGCCGCAGAAAGTCAAAGGCGTCAGAAGGACAAGTGTCCTGGGGACTAAATGAGACTTGAGCGGTCCCTGCCCTATGGAAGCTGTACTTTGCAGGAAGCCCTTTTATGCAAAGACTGCACAGATGGGGCTGTTCTCTCTGGGTGGAAGAAAATCAGATAGTTAAGAATTCCACAGAGCACTCAGGGTGAATGAATCAGTCTGGTATTTCCTTGCTGCTGCTCAGGGGCGTACACAGAAATTTAACTTTGACCCCTTTTGCGGGGACACATCCTGTGCTCCCACCCCTCACAGCAGGAGCTTGCTCTTCCTTCTCCGGCTCCCACAGGCCCTCGCTTTCCTCTCTGCAGCCCTGGGGTGGAAGGAGCTCACTTTCTCCACCACCGTGGCCCCGGGGCTGGAATTCTGTGCCCCTGATGATTATTGGGGGGGGTGCCCCTGCTTGCTCCCCCCTTTGTGCATGCCCCTGCTGCTGGTCTTGCAAAAAAAAGTATCCTGCTGACTGGGATCTAGACCTCTCCAGACTGGGTGACCTTCCTGCTGGTGTCAGCACAGAATGTCTCTAACTCTGCCCCCAGACTCTACAGTGCCCTCTTCTGCTTGGCAAACAGCCTGCGTGTGGATTTATGGGCACGCCCGGGTGTGGTCACGCGCCTGTCTGTGGGTGTGCACGTAGGGTCGCACAGATCCCTGTCGGGTCACTAACCAGCATGTTCTCTTCCTGCTCAGGCCCCCCTCGCCGTTCTCCACCGCTGACGGCCCCAGCACAGCGGGCGGAAAGATGAATCCCACCATCAGCGTCGCTGTCCTCCTGACAGGTAGGGGCCCAGGGGTGCAATGATGCTGCCATCTAGTGGCCATGCGCCATAAGTGGTGCTAGCTGGAGAGACCAGACATAACTTCTAAATAAATGCTTCACTCCAGAGAAAGCCAGGCCAGCTGAATCCTCCTCCTCCCCTACCGGGGACACTGGGGGGCGGGGGGTGTTATGATCTGTCCTACTTTGCAGTGACCCCACCGTGGAATGCACTGGCTTCGTGGGGAGAGAGCTCACTCGCCAGCAGCACAACCAAAATGGTTAAAAGCCAAACTACTGCTGCAGGCGAACGGAGAGTCTCCGGTAGCTCAGCCCTCATTTTGCTAGCAGCAAGTCTTGGCTTCTCCAGCCCTGTGTGCGTGTGATTTAGCCAGAAACTGTGACGTGTCTCCATAGCATGTGGATTTACTGCTGCATGCACTGGAGCAAGGGGTAACTGCAGGGGTGCTCCTGCCTTCACCCCCCTCCCCCCTGCCAGCCCCGCTCCACCTCCCCTGACCCTGTTGGCCTGTCCCAGTGCTGCAGGCTGCCCATTGCCAGAAGATCAAGGAACTGAGCGCCTGCTTGCTGGGCCAGAACCTGCGCGTGGACTGCCGCTACGAAAACAAGACCGCCAACCCCCTGACCTACGAGTTCAGCATGTTCAAGGACAACAGGAAGCGTGTGATCCAGACCACCTTGAACGTCCCCGAGAACAGCCTCAAGGCACGATCCAACGTCACCCTGTCAAAGGACCTGTTGTGCCTGCAGCTGTTCGACTTCACCACCGCAGACGAGGGCACCTACATCTGCGAGCTGAAGATCACTGGCGACTACACCGGCAACCAGATAAGGAACATCACCGTCATCAAAGGTGGGCAAGGGAGGGGACCCTACCACCCCAGGCTTCTCGCTGACCTAGCACGGTGCATCACCCTCTGTCCTCCCGGCTCTACTACTGATGGGCCAAGGCACCAGTACACAAGGGGCACTGATTCTCACAGGCCCACCTGATGCCCTCTGACCATTTGAGCCCTTTGCCCAATGCTCCTGTTAGATAAAGGCCTGTATGTACTTTCCAACCAACTGCAGCCAGGGCAGGGCCAGCAACGGAGTCACCCCTCCCCACACACACATCCTTGCCTGGAGCCAAACCCTTCTCACCCTCCAGTGCCCTGTGCCTTTTGCAGATATCTATCAGAGGCACCCACCCATCCAGCTTCCCACTGGGCCCTGCAAATCTTAGGGCCAGCCCTGCGCTGGGGAATGGGCCAGATCGGAGCCTTGTGCCTTCCGGCTGCCTGTTCAAACCTAGCCCAGATCTGTAGAACTGTCTCCGTCTGCTGGCTGCTCGGTGGCCCACACGTGTGCTGAGTTTGGTGAGTCTCAGTGGATAGTTGCTAATGTCACCCAAAAGAACCCATCATAGTTGGTATTAATTGGCCCCCAGGACAGATCAGCAGGGTAGCATTAGGGGAAACTAGCCTGACCTCTGCCCACCCTGTGGCTGTTCTGTAGGGAGGGGACTCTAGCCTCCAAGGCTGTCCACCTGGAACATAGCGTCTGTCAGCTTTCTGCTGGAGAGAGGACTCTTCCCATCCCAGAGCGCCACAAAGCACCTCACACCCCACCTCTCTCGGCCTGGGGTCAGGAAGGTACTTCCCTATGGGCAGGATCTTGCCTAGTTGTCCCCTAGGGGTTCCTTCTGCCCGCTTTTGAAGCAGCTAGTGCTGGCCATTGTCAGAGAGAGGACAGGGGAGTGGATGGAGCACTGACTTGATCGTTCTCGTTTGTACTGCAGTAGGACCTAGAGGTCCCAGTCGAGGTCAGAATCCCCCTTGTGCCAGGCACTGGACAGATACAGTGGGAAGTGCTCCCTTGCCCCAAAGAACTTGCAGTCTCACTAGACAAGACACAGAGTGGGAGGGGAAATAGAGGCACATGGAGGGGGAGTGACTTGCCCAAGGTCACCCACCTGGTCCGTGGCAGAGCCGGGAAGAGAACCCAGGTGTGCCGGCTCCCGGCACCCCATCCGTCCTCTTTCCCCAGGGATCTCATTTTTGCTTTTTCTCTCTTTCCCCTCCCCCTGCCCTGGCAGACAAGCTGGAGAAATGTGCTGGCGTCAGCCTCTTGATTCAGAACACCTCGTGGCTGCTGCTCCTGCTCCTGTCCCTGCCACTCCTGCAAGCTGTGGACTTCGTGTCCCTGTGAAGGGAAGGAGCGACCGAACCGCCCAGCCGAGCCCCACCGCCCAAACGTGGCCCTTTGCAAGAGAAGACGATGAACGATTTGAAACCAAGGAAATCTCTCTGTGTATATCTCTGTCTATATCTGTATATCTACCGAGCCCGCGCTGCCTCGCCATCACACCACATGTCCGAAACACGCTGGGGGCCGGGGTGGGGGTATTAAGCAGTATTAAAGGATCCGACGCATGGCGGCATTCCCTCGCACTCTGCTAGATGGTGCAGCTTCTTCCATAGCAAGTTTTGTTTTTGTTTGCCCCGGTGGCAGGGAGATCTGTAGCCTCGAGGGAGCAGCTTTTCTTGTCCCATTTTTTGTCTTTCAAGGGGAAAGCCAGCAGGCCCCCCAGACCTGACTGGTAAAAGAGAGAGGGTCAAAGAGTTAGGGGACCAACTGGGGAGTCCTGGCCACGACCCCAGCCTGGAGAACAGACGTTCACTCAGCAACGCAGGGTTGCCCAGTGTAAAGACTTGTCCTGACCTAGGCAACATCAGGCAAATGGGAAGCTTTGGGATAGAGTACGGTGCACTAGCTTTTCACCTCTGGGGAGCTGGGTTTGAATCCTGCCTGGTGAGATGAATTTGGTGGGCTCTCAGCCTGTTCTTTGGCAGCCAACACTTCCGTATTGCACAAAGCCATGATCATTGGTATGACTGGTTCACCTGCATAGGAAAGGGCCAGCATTGAAACAGATCAGTCTTGGGGCTGAGAGCAACAAGGACACCCTACTACAGAGACAGCAAAGGGTGCTGAAGGTCTCACATTTGAGGTGCAGGGATAGAGAGCTGGGGGGGGGCACAGCACTGAAATAGCAAGGGGTGCTGAAGGTTTTTAGGACAGAGGCTCAGCTGCAGCCCTGCATAAGAACATTTGCCCATCACATCCACGCTCTGCTGGGCTTACGTCCTCACCGTAAGATCAGGGGATGGCAGTTACTATAGGAGTTGGTTGTTTTGGGGTTTGTTTGGGTTTTTTTTTGTTAATCCTGAACTAAGAAACTGAGGCAGTAGCCCTTTAAAGTCGTCAGTGTGCCGAGGCCTAGAGCTCCTTAGGCATTAGCTCACCCTGCTCAGTGAAGACAGTTGTGTGCTGTGAAGGGAGACCCCTTGCTGAGTTAGTGCCTGTCAGTTGCACTGCTGGGTGTGATCTCCAGGCTGCGGTCCCCTGGGCGGAGACCCAGATAGCAGCTGCATATTCCTTCCTCCCCAGCATGTGGGGGGTGAAGAGACACTCATGTACCCTGGGAGAGTGTCCTTAGCTCTTAAAGGAGCCAGACTTTTCCTGACTGCCAATCCTAGAACTGGGACAGCTCGCTCCCAGAGAAGAAGTCACCATCCTGGGGGAGAGAGGAGATATACCGATAGGGAAGGGGGCCTAGCAGCTGCCACCTCCCACTCTGGCCCCAGTCAAAGCTGCTCTGGGCACATACCCCCATTAACACATACAGCTGTCTCCCACTGGGGATCAGGGGGAGATTGCAGGAGCTGGGGCTGCCCTCAAGCCACAGGCTCTCATCCCTGCATGCCACCCTTTGGGTTTGACTCGAGGCACAAGCAAGACCAGCGTGCCTGGCTCCACTCCTTGACTGGACCATGGTTTCCTCCTTCAGCCCAGTCCTGCTCCCACTGCAGCCTTCCTCCCTTGCAGGTTAACAGACTCAGGTGCAGGCCTGTCCCTTAACATGGCCTTGCCTCTCATTAGGAGCCTAAAGGGCCTAGGCAGGTGTTTCCTGTGGATGGTGGTTAGCCGTAGGGGGAGCTAATGCACCACAAACCACAAAATGACCCCAAGCTGAGAGAGCATCCCCAGCTTGAGACAGGGTCTGGACCAGGCCTTCCCTCCAGCAAGCTGGGGATCGATGCCCCAGGACTTACCAGGGCAGAAACTCTCCTGAGCCCACCTACCTAGCAGGGGCAGGCTAGATGGCAGAGGGTATTACATAGCTCTCTCGGAGCGCCAAAGGCATCTCACCCAGGGGTGGGCTAAAACAACCTCTGTGGGACTGGGGAGCAGAGGTCCCCCTCAGCCCCCTGCCACACAGGTGAGACAATGGGAAGCCAAGATCATAAGCATCAGAACTGATCAGGGCAAGAACTGGGAGCTCACCTGGTGGAACTGGAAGGGCTAATGGTGACTGGAGGTGGGGATGGGGTCAGGCCCCAGCTAATCCTAACGTGCCCCTCTCTCCAATTGTGTGTGCTGAGCTTGAGGCCGCTGCAGTGTCAAGAGCCCCGGTGGCTGGCTAAGGTGAGCTGCTTTCTTCCAAGACGGCCCGCGCCCTGCTTTTCCACTGTGCGGTGCACTACCCTGCCCAGATGTACTGCTCAGGTATCTCTCCGTGTACATCTCCCACCAGCCAGCCGTGACCTGACGGGGAATGCAATGTGGGGGGGGGGGTCAGACCCAGCCAACCCACACTGGCATGGCCTAGTCTTGTTTTGTGAACATTTGTAGTGTTTCCACAGTTTGGTGTAGGAGAAATGCTGTTCAAGGGGGAGGGGGAAGAACAACAAAAGAGCCTCTGTCTGCACAATAAATCCCTCGGTCGTGTGTTGGATTCACAGCTGCCTGCCTCTTTATTTCAGCACTGATTTCAAGGGCTTTGAATTTGCTTTCCTAAGGGCCAGCCCTCACAGCTGGCTGGGGACAGCCTGCCCTCTAGTGGAGACAATCTGAACTGCTTAGCTGTGTGTCCTAGCGTCTGTAGTGCTGCAAGAAAATCGCCTCTCACACCGACGGGTGGGTTTGTGCTGTGGAACTGGCCCAGCTCCCAGGGCTAGCCCCGCGGGCCCAACATGCTCCGAGTAGCAGGGGGGATGAAGGGGAGCAGTGCACGCTCTGTCTGGAAAGCGAGGAAGAGGAGGTGCGGGACAGCTTCGCTCCCAGCGCTGTTTCTTCTCAGGCTGGGAAGCTCCAGAACTCGGCCCCTGGGCGCTCCCGCTGCCAGCCCCACCTGGGCCCTGGAGCCGGAGGGCTCAAGCTCGTAGAATGGCACAGGGGGTCCCCCTGGGGTGACCCACACACACCCCGGCAGGGGCTGGGACTATCCCCTGCCTACAGGGGGACCCAGAGCAGCACCTAGGAGCGGGGATCTCCTCTTCTGCATCCGATGAAGTGAGCTGTAGCCCACGAAAGCTCATGCTCAAATAAATCTGTTCATCTCTAAGGTGCCACAAGTCTTCCTGTTCTTTTTGCGGATACAGACTAACAGGGCTGCTACTCTGAAACCTCCTCTCCTTTCTCCCTTAGCCTATAGGGGCAGCGCCCAAGGGCTGGGATGCAGCCCCCTGAGGGGACCAGAGCTCCAGGAGTTGGGATCTCCCCCCAGCCTATAGGGAGCAGCACCCAGGGCCCGAGTACCTTGCCCCACACTCCTCTCCCGCAGAGCCGTGGGTGGGTGGGAAACCCGGGGGTCCAGGGTCTGGAATCTACCGCGCCCCGCACCCCGCTCCAGGGGACGCGGAGCACCAGGGGCTGACTGTCCCCCGCGGGTCCCGGCCTTGGCCCCACCTGCGAGCTGCCGTGCGGGGCGAGTTGGGCGAGGGACGCCGCCCGGCAGCTGCAGCCTCCCCGCCCCGCGTCAGCTGCGCCCGGATTGTGACATCAGGCTCGGTCGGGCCCCCAGCTGCTCCACGGAAGCGGCCGGCTCCGGCTCATCCCCACCCGAGAGCCCGGTGAGTGCGGGAGGCGCGCCCGGCCAGCCCCCCGGGGCTCCGTGTGTGCGGGGGGTGCCCGGCCCCCCTGGGCGGTGCCAGCCCCACCTGGGGGGGGGATCTAGGGGGTGCCTGCCCCCCCCGAGCAGTGCCAGCCCCACCTGGGGGGGGATCTAGGGGGTGCCTGCCCCCCCCGAGCAGTGCCAGCCCCACCTGGGGGGGGATCTAGGGGTGCCTGCCCCCCCGAGCAGTGCCAGCCCCACCTGGGGGGGGATCTAGGGGTGCCTGCCCCCCCCCGAGCAGTGCCAGCCCCACCTGGGGGGGGGATCTAGGCAGTGCCTGCCCCCCCCCCGAGCAGTGCCAGCCCCACCTGGGGGGGGGGATCTAGGCAGTGCCTGCCCCCCCCGAGCAGTGCCAGCCCCACCTGGGGGGGGATCTAGGCAGTGCCTGCCCCCCCGAGCAGTGCCAGCCTCACCTGGGGGGGGATCTAGGCAGTGCCTGGCCCCCCTGAGCAGAATAAGGCTCTGTGTCTGTAAGGGTTCTCTGCCCCCCAGGCAGTGGGACAATGCCCTCTACTTCCCACCGGCGTTCTGGCTGTGTGAATGACCCCCCCCCCCCCATCCCCTGAAAACCACCTGAGCAGGCCCAGCACCTTGTGGGTCATGCCAGCCCCTGACTGGGCTCTGTATAAGTGGAGGGTGTGGGGCTTGGGCCTAACCAAGAAAATGTCTCTTTTCCCCCACTTCCCCCTGCCAGAGTCATCTCTGTGGTAGGGGGTGCCTGCCCCCCCTGAGCAGTGCCTGCCAGAGTCATCTCTGTGGTAGGGGTGTGTCCCATACCTGCCCCTCCTCCCACAGGCTTGGGTGGGAGTCAGGAGAACATGCCAGGGCTGCTCCCACCAGTGCCAGCCCGACTGGGGAGATCTAGGGGTGCCTGGCTCCACCTGGGGGACTTAGGGGGTGCCAAACACACACAATAAGGCAGTGCCTGCCTGGGCTATGGGGCAGGGGAAGTGTGGGAGCATGTACCCGATCTGCGTCATTCCTGCTGACCCGAGATCAGTGCCGCCTGTGATCTGTGTGTGCCTGAGCCAGGCCTGCATCCCCCCTGCGTGAGCACTCGTGCCTCGCCGCGTGTGAGCGCTCGTACCATGCCAACATGCCGTGTGTGTGCGTGTGCGCACCATGCAAATGCTCCCTGTGGCCCCAGGAAGATGTGTTGCTGGGAGGGCTGGACCCGGATCCTCCAGCTTCCTACCCCAGGCTGTGGGGAGTGGGGCCATCCTGCCAGCGGCCCCAGGACTGCCAAGCTGGCTGGGTCCAGAGAGAGGAGGCTCTCTGAACACACTGGGAGGAGGAATACATTTTCCCTGCTCAGGGTGGAGCTGCTTTGAAAATAACTCGAAGATTTGGGTTATTTTGGGAGGGGGAGGTTGTCCATCTCAAGGAGTGAGTCCGGGGATCCAGTCATCAGGTACCCACCAGGCTTCAGGATTTCGCAGTGAAGGATCTGGCTCTGGTGGTGGCTGGCGGAGGGTGGGCTAAAGCACCAGGAGTAGGAGCACCAAATAGATCCCTGGCCTCATCCCGTTGACCTCCCTGAGGTTACCCCAGGGATAAAACTGGCCTAAGTGTTTTCCCACAGCCATGCCTGGGCTGTGACATACAGATGAGCAGGGAAGGGAGGGAAGTGGTGGCTTAATTGCATCCTGCCTAGTTACTCATAAGAGGTGGGGACTGAGTCATTGCCTTCCAATGCTCTGGAGTAGACTCAGCTGGACCCAATTCACACATGGAGCTGACTTAGGGTGGAGTTACGCTAGGGTGAATTTAACCCTGGATCTTCTTGCAAGGCACCTCCCCAGCTCTTCTGTGTCCGTGGAGCCCGTGCATCCCTCACCCTGAAGAGCCCTCAAGGGGCAGAAGGGTGAATGGCTTCCTTGGCCCTATCTCTGTCCCTCAAGTGGGCTGTCCCACCACTGCCAGGTAGAGCAGGGCTGAGACAGCTCCCATGACTAATGGCCAGGGGGTGGCACTCTCATAGCTGGTCAGAGGATCCCAGAGGCACCCATATGTGCCATGCAGACTCCCTGCCCCTTGAAGTCAGCGTAGGGCTGTGCATTGTCCGGGCTCCTCCTAACTGTCTCCACCAGGCATCTGTTCTATGTCAGTTCCTGTACCACACTCAGCACTGTGGGATGAGGGTGCCTGCCAGGCGTGCAATAGGGACCGTGGCTGAGATCTGTCCCGTCTGTGTTCTCTCCTCCACTCCCCAGGGAGAGAAGTCCACTGCTTCCCTTGGGAGGATGCTGCTTCTCCTCCCACCAGTTGGGGGCTGGACTGGGGGCCAGAGAGCAGCATCTCTGGGGTGCCCCAGAGCCTTATGGGCAGTTGTCTGCCATTCCCTCTTATCTCCAGGAATCCTATCTCCCCTCCCTTGGCCCCAGCCCCTCCCTCCCCCTGTATCAGCCCAGCCCCCCTCTTCCCTTCGCCGAGAACCCCCTTCTGCAGTTTCCTCCTCACACCTGATCCCCTCTTCCCTTCCCCTGCTCCAGAACCCCCTTTCCCTTTTGACCCCTTACCACCATCTCTCTTTGCCTCCCAAACCTCCATTTTTCCTACCCTCAAAGCCTCTACTTCTCCCATTGCCCCAGAACGCCACCCTTTCCCCCCTCTCCTCCCCGTAGCACCCCTCTTCTGGCCCTGCCTCCATGACACATGAGAACCCCTCTGGCTGCGCTCTGCTGGCTGCCACTTTAAGCCTCCCCGCTGCTGGAATGTGAGAGGAGGGCTCCAGCTCCCTGTGAGGTCAGATAAGACACTATATTTATCTAGCCGGTAACCTGAGCCGAGAATTTCTGCAGTGGATTACACAGCCCCAGCCTTTAGGCTCTGCCCCTCTGGCCATTTCACCCAGATCCCCCCCCCCTTTGCCCCCCCCCATGCCCGCTGGAGAAGCCTGGCTCTGAGACAGCCTGGACGGCTGCTAACAGGTTAGTCGCTACTGTTTATTTTCAATCCCTTTTTTCTCCTTTGCTTCTGTTGTAGGGCAAGTGCCTTGCGGACGCTGAGGTGACCCCATCCGAGCAGCCAGGGCGTCACCCCATGACAAGCCGCTACCCTTCAGTCTTGCTGCCCCACACGCAGGTGTGTATGGAGCTGCTGGGAAACTCGAGGACGGGGTTAGAGGGTCCCGGGAGGGAGGGTAAAATACAAGCTGAGAAACTTCAGGGTGGACTTAGCTTCCAGACAACGGAGGCACTTTGCTAAGATCTGGGGACCTGGGGCCGGGATCAGCCTTTCTGGCCATGTTCTATCCACATCGCCAATTTGGTCCTTTTCCTTTAACTTCGCTAGCTGCAACTGAAGTCTTGAGCTTTGTCAGTCAATCAAGCGTCCGGCCGGTGGTGGTAATACCGAGCTCTTCCTCCGTAGATCTTGAAGCACGTGGTGGGCGAATAATCGACTCCGCTCATGTTCTTGTTTGCTCCCATCAGCTGTCCAGGGAGCTCTTCGCCAGCAGGTTTTTTCTCTTCCATCATTCCGCCACTTTTAACCGAGGCCGCGCCGGGGGCTTCATAACTTGGATTTTACCGGGTTGCTGAGTGCTAGGGTGATGTGGCCGGGGGCAGGCAGGTCGTCAGCAACTCAGATCCAGCTCAGGTTGCCAGAGTTAGCACCAACTGCCAGCTGTTAGGTGACACATGTGAAGAGAGTCGGTGGGTCTCTGCCTTGTTCTCAGTGGGCAAGTCCCTATGCTGACAGCCACGGTTGCAATGGATGCTCATTAGCATCTACAACAGAGGAAGGGTGGTCAGTGGTTAGGGCACTAGCCTAGCACTTGGGAGACCCAGATTCAGTTCCCTGCTACACCATAGACTTTCTGGGTGACTCTGGACAAGTCACTTACTCAGCAGTGTTGCCTCATGGGTAGGGCACTGGACCGGGACTCGGGAGACCTGGGTCTAATCCCAGCTCTGCTGCTGGCCTGCTGGGTGACCTTGGGTAAGCCACTTCACCTGCTGGTTCCTCAGTTTGCCCATCAGTTAAATGGGAATAATGATACCGACCACCTTTGTAAAGCGCTTGGAGAGCTACGGCTGACAAGAGCTGGGTATTGTTATTATCTGTACAATTGGGATCACAGCACTTGCCCACCCTCACTAGGGGTGTGGTGAGGTTAAATGCAGTGCAGATGGTGAGGTGCTCAGACGCTGCCGTGAGTGATGGGGGCCAGAGAGAGAGGAATTGAGCTGGGCTCTAGCACCTATTTCTAGGGCAGGCCCAGAGGGGCATAGGTGGGAAGCCTGCCCCGTTGCTACCCACCTTGTCCCTGTTCTGTGGCTGACCAGAGTCCAGGGCTGTCACTTGCCCCACTACCAAAATCACTTGCAGCCTGTTGGCGTCACTGCCGTTCCCCCTGGAGCCCTGCAGGCGGAGGGCTGGGCGTGGGCTGTTGGCAGGGAGCATGGGAGGGTTTAAGCGTGTTCTCTTATCTGTTGACAAACTGCATCCCTTTGGCAACTCTCGCCAGCCGGGCTAGGTTCCGCTCTGATCTTGGGAGGAGGTTTCTGGGGCCACCCTTAGAGTGGACAAATCAAACCAGCTGGAGGAATTGTTGGCATAACATACCCCTGGCTTGGTCTGGCGGACTCCCTGCTCCTTCCTGCCCCCCTCCAGGCACTAAACAACTCATCCCAAAAGGAAAGCTGTCCTGCAGTGCGCTACTGATGCTCCTCAGCCTGCCCGGGAGGGGCCCCTCTGAAGGGGGAGTGCAGTCTCCAGGGCTTGTGCAGACATTTGGCCCAGGCGCTGCCCCTCTGGGGGCCTGCCCTGCAGCTCCTCTGAGATGAGCTGCTGTGGGTATTTGTTTTCCCTCTGGCTGCTGCATTCCAATGCTGCAGGTTTGCAAAGACCGCAGGGTCACCTCTGTGTCAGGCCCAGCTGGCCAGCTCTGCTCCAAGGAGAGGCTAGTGTTCGGCTCCCCCATTCCTCTGCCCTGGAAGTAGTCTTCCAGTAGTAGGCCCCTCATTGACAGGGGCTGGGGTCATGGGACTCCCAGGGGAGCTCAGGCCCCAGTCTCGGTGGAGGAACAGGCTGGGGCTGACCTGAGCTTTCCTGGACAGGGCTTAGGAAGGCTCCCTTGTGGGATGCTCTGGTGTAATGACAATAGTATAAAGGGGCTTCGGCTGCTGGACACAGGCAGACCCTGCGGTTCTCTCTAGCTCCCAGTCTGACTGACCCAGTGTCAGCTGGCTGGTGTCCAGACGGGGTCTCCTTGGCCTGGACAAAGTCCTCATGGAAGGGACTGTCGTCTGCATTGTGCGTGGTACCTAGAGAGTCTCCCCCGCTGCAGGGGGAGACTTGCACAGCCTCCCCTCCCCGTCCCACAAGCGATGCTCTGGAACTGCTCCCCATGAAGCCAGGCAGGACTCTGGGGCAGTCTCCTTTCTGTGAGCAGCCTGTTTGCAGGACACACAGCTCACACGGCTTCCACCTTCCTGGGTCTGACCTCGGAGCAGTCAGCCTCCTCTGCCCCTCCGTGCGCTTCCCACAGCGAGTCCGCCCAGGCAGGGTCCTGGGGAAGCCAGAGGGTCCTGCCCCGCAACTTCGCAGTCAGACGGGACTCTCAGCCAGCCAGTAAAACAGAAGGTTTATTAGACGACAGGAACATGGTCTAAAACAGAGCTTGTAGGTGCAGAGAACGAGACCCCTCAGCCGGGTCCGTTTTGGGGGCCGTGAGCCAGACAACCCCATCTGCACTTCACTCCATGTCCCCAGCCAGCCCCAAACTAAAACCCTCTCCAGTCCCTCCTCCTCTGGGCTTTGTCCCTTTCCCAGGCCAGGAGGTCACCTGATTCCTTTGTTCTCCAACCTCTTTAGCTCTCACCTTGCAGGGGGGAAGGGCCAGGCCACAAGTTGCCAGAAAACAGGGTGTCGGCCATTCTCTGTGTCCAGACCCCTGCACACACCTGCCCTCTAGGGCTCTGCAACGATCACACATCCTTACCCCACCACCTAGATACTTAAGAACTGCACAGGGGAAACTGAGGCACCCCCACACCATTCAGAGGAACCATTAAGAACAGTCCCGCTTCGTCACATCCTTGTCCCATGTGGAGACAATGGAAGGTAATGGGGAGAAGGGGGTGGTCTGGGGCGATGGAAGGAGGCAGGATCTGTGCCCTGGCTCTCTAGTCTCCCCTAGAGCTTTAACATAGACCGGAGAGTGAGCAGGGTGGTGGAAGCGGTAGATGTGAAGCCAGGACTCCTGGGTTCTTTGTCCCAGCCCTGCCACTGGCTCGCCCTGTGAGCTTAGCCCAGATGCTTCATCTTTCTGTGCCTCCGCTTCCCCAGCTGCACAGTGGGGCGAGTGGCGGGGTGTCCCTGCCTCACGGGGGCGGAGGAAGGCTGAGTCACCGGCTCTGCTGAGAGGTGCTGTACGTGCAAGGGCAGCGCTGCCGCTGGAGAGAGCCACCCGGCTTCGTGCCCCTCGGCTCGGCTCTCATAGTGCGCTCGGCTTGTCTCTTGCAGCCCTGGGCACCAGGATGGTGTGACGTGGTCCTGTGAATCCCACAGGGAAGGCAGTTCTTGTAAAGGTGGCAGTCCTAGACGGTAAGCAGCCCAGGGACCCTCCTGGGGTAGGGTGGGTAGAACAGGTCCTATGGGCCAGGACTTTCTTTCCTGCACACAGAAAACTTTCCTGTGAAGAGTAACCTTAGGGAGCTGGTCCCTCTGATCTGCTAAGATCTCCTGGCATATTTGGCAAGCCTTGAGGTGTTAGCCTGTGTCATTGGTCATCCTGGTCTCCCCTGAATCCCTCTCCACACAGCCCCATACTCTCACAGCCCCCTACCCCCTTTCATTTCAAAGGCATAGTGTGTTCTTTCTAAAAGCAGTTTCTCTGTTGTAGATCAGCTGCTTGTTCCACCCCAGAGGTGGCTGCTTTTTAAGGGCGAGGGAAGTGACCTTGGCATGCTGAAGGGGTAAATCCTACCCCTCGTTTATCCCTATGCACGTCCATGGGCTTTGGCAGAGTTGCGAGAGTTTGGCAGGGTCTCTGGCATGAAAGGGGCTTTCGAAACGGAAGGGGCTAGAGGCGGAAATGGATGTCGGAGATATGGGCGCAGCGGGGAAGAGCGAATGATGCAGTCGTTGGAAGCTTAGCCCACGGCCGGACAGTCCCTGCCTTGCACGGATCTGTGCCAGGGCCTATACCGGTGGTGCACTAAGGAGTCTGTTCTGGGTCCAGCCCTGCAAAATCTGAGCTGGCTCCATGCTGGGCTCCCTCGGCCTGGCCAGGGAGCAGGTGGGGGTCTATGCTGGGCTCCCTCGGCCTGGCCAGGGAGCAGGTGGGGGTCTATGCTGGGCTCCCACGGCCTGGCCAGGGAGCAGGGGGTTCTCATGGCATTTAGATGGTACCAGAGCCTTGTGCCGGTGCCCCTCTGTCAGATGCAGCTGGCATCTTTGTAGCCATCCCTGCATTCCTCGAAGCAAAATCTCCACTATGCAGATGAAGGCTTCAGCTGGGAAGCCCAGCCCATCTGGTCTCCTGCTGCTCCTGGTAAAGGGGCTGAGCTCTGGCAGGGAAGAGCCAGGCGTCTCACTGGAGTATTTGCCTGCAGGGGGATTATTCACCCTGCAGCCTGCTTGCCTAACAGGTTTGTGTACTTGGACTTGCTTTTGCTCATAAATAGTTTCCTACTTACTCTGGGATGACTACTGCATGGAAAGAGCAGGAAGTCAAGAGAGCTGGCAATCTTGCCGGGGGCCAGTGCACCTGGATGGAGCTTCACAGCTCACCAAAGGTTCTGGGTTAGAGCAGCTAGGTCCCTCAGACAATTTACTATGGGGATGAGGATCTCAGGTAAATTCCCGGATCGGAGGTGAAGTGTTTCCACAAGTGGGGCTAGTTTTGGACTGGATCTGGAGTGGTTCCATGTGCCAGAACGGCCTGCTTCAGGCCTGTGTGCAAGGGCTGACTACGGGGTGCTCCTGGGTCTGTAAGGGTCTGTGTTCCGTGGCTGCTTGGGCTGAGGCTGGGAAACTCATCTCACTGGTGACTGGCAGCTCCCAGTGGCGTTGCTGAGCCCAGACCAAGGGAGCGCGTGAACTAGGTTAGCACAGCAGGTGAAATGGCTCATCTCCCTGTGGATCTGTAACGTTCCCTCCAGCTGACTCCAGTTTCACACCCGGCCCCGGCTCAGTTTCACTCGGCTGCCAGTGGAAAATCCAGAGTGCATATTCTCAGCGGCGGTGGGGCTGAAGGGTGCAGCTCTGTTCGGTCGAACCCCTGCCTTGGGGGGGTGCAGCAGGGTAGGGTGAGTGTGCACTTGGAGATGTGGCCTCCGGGGCTGAATCTCATACTGCCTGGGATGCAGGGTTAGGGACTGGCTGGTGCTGATTCCAGGGCAGGGACCCAAATGCTGCAGAAGGGGTGAGCCATAAATGCAAGTGGATCCAGACACCCCAGAATTTGAGGAAGCTCGGAATCTAGAGATGAATTTTGAAGCTTGAGACTCTCTCAATTCCCAACAGAATGGCCCCGCCCCTTGGGACCAGGCCAGGTGAGTGAGAGGGTGCTCCCCTATGCCGCTGGGTGTAGGGACACACCCACACACATGGTCCTGAGGGCCGAGCTTGTGCAGGGTGCCTTAAATGGAGCGTGGCTTCCCGAGGCCTCTCCACAGCACTTGCTTGGGGGATGACTTCGCCAACTCACCAGGCTTGGGAGGGATGGAGGCTTCTGCTGGGCAAGGTTGGGAGTTTCGGTGCAAAAGCTTGGGTGAGTTTCTCCCCCATGAGTGGTTTGGCTAGAGAGCCAAGGCGGTCTTTCACGTAGCTGTACGTGGGAGGCCTTGGGGCCTGGTGGTTAGGGCACAGAGCTGGGACTTCTGTGTCTGGCTCTGAGTGGGGGAGGGCTGTCTCGTGGTAAGAGCACGGAGTTGGGCGTCCGGACTCGTGGATTCTACCCCTGCCTCCGAGAAGGAGTGTGCTCCAGTGGTTAGAGTCTGCTTCGTCAGTGACTCGCTTTGTGTCCCCAGGCCGGTGACCTCACTTTGCTGGGCCTCGCTGGCTGCCCGTGCAAGGGGTGTGAGAGCAACTAACTCCTTTCCTGGGCATGGGGGAGCACCCCAAATGAACGGCTTTGCAAAGGGCTTTGAGATCCCCGAGAGGAGGTGCTGCACAAGCTTGGGGCTTATGAGGGGTGTGGGCCACGCCCCGCGGCCGAGCAGAGGACAGCATGTCTGTGCCTGTCCCCTGCCGCAAGCACGTCAGGTGGAGCATGTCCAGGTGCGTGGAGAGCTCGCCTTGAAAGGGCTTTGAACCAGGGCGGTTTCCCTGGTGACTAGAGACTCTGAGCCATGTGAGCTGCTGTCCTGCAAGGGAAGGAAAACAAGCAGAGAGGGAGTGACAGGGCTGGAGGAGACGAGTTCCCTCTGCCTCCCAACCACCACGTAAATCCCTGGAGCCGGTTGGGGACCAGCCAGAGCCCCGTCTGGTGTAATGTCCCCCCAGGCCCTGTGCCAGCCGCTTTCTGACCCAATGGATCCATTCCAGGAGCAAAGTTCCCACCCGGTTAAGGCCTGTTTGCGAGGCAGCCCCAGCTTGTCTAGGGGGTGAAGCTGATTGGCTGAGCTAGGCAGGACTTTTACCCAAGTCTTGGATGGTGTTTGTCGTGGGTGTCTCCTCTGGAGGGGCCCGAGTGCCACTGGTGGGCTTGTGAGGGGGTGTCTTGTGCTGGCCATACTCCAGCCTGGGCCCAGGGGCCCCTTCCTCGCTGCTAGTTGTAAGTTCCTCGGCTTCTACGACTGGCCATTCATGACCTGCTGGATCTGTTTATATCTCTGGGCAGCTGATGGGGTGAACGTGGGCAGGCCCAGGGGGGTGCCCTGGGGAGAGAGCCCCTGGCACATGTGACATTCACACCTACACGGCCTCTTCCCACCTGACTGCGGTGTATAGTGTGCTTTTAGGTACTGGGACTCAGGACTCCTGGGTTCTATTCCCGGCTCTGCCACTGACTCGTTGGGTGGGCGTGGGCAAGTCACTTCCCTGCATTTCGCCATGCGTAGAATGGGGCTCCTGTCTGTGCAGTGCTTGGGGAGCCATGGGAGGAGGGGGACCCAGTCCCTGCCCTTCCATGGGACCCTGTGCTGTCTGGGCCCAGTGGAGGCACTCTGCTCAGGACTGATCCGAGCTCCTCTTTGCTCTCTGCTGGCTTGTGGATGGAGCCCCATGCTGAGGCCAGAGATGAGCATAGCTGGCCAGATCCTTGGGACAGGGCAGCCCCGGCTGGTGCTTGGTGCCCCCTGGAGGTGCAGCCCCCTGCCATCCCCAAGAGGGCTGCAGACTGAGCTTCCCATGATGCTAATGCACAGTCCTAGCTAGACCCTTAGCTCCCACAGTGGCAAAAACTTCCCGCACCTGAGAGCTGCCTAGTTCATGGAGCTGCTGCAGCAGCTGGGGCTTGGCCATCACTGCCTAGCTCTGCACTCTCCAGGCTGGCTTCCAGGTCAGCCCAGTAGCACCCTTTCCCCCAGCTCAGCACGCCCTTCCTACTGCTCTCCTGCAGGCCTCTGGCCACTCAGGCTGGGATGGCATGTCCAGCCAGCTCAGCTGCATGGCACAGCTGCTGGAGAGTGGAGCTGGCAGCTGCTGAATAGCCCCAGGACTCTGTCTCTGGAATACCAATGCCCCGGGGCAGGCCTGGGTGGGAGGATGGTCTGAGCTGATGAAATCATCCCTCATGCAAACCCACTCAGGCGGGTGGGGAGAGGCAGGGGGACTGGCCCTGGCTGCTGGCTCCAGCCTGCAGTTTGTGCGTGGTGCTAAATTATTGATGGGAGCAGCTAGTTCTCAGCGGGGTCAGATGCAGCGGAGCAGAGAGCCTGGGCTGAGCGGCTCCAGCCCGCAAGTCCTCGCACTGGGGAACAGGCTCACAACTCCAGCCCTGAACCTCCTGCACTTTCGTCTTCCTCCCTGCTCTTTTCTCTCTCCCCCAGCTCTCTCTCCCTTCTCTCTTTCCATTCCCGCAGATCCCAGCCGCACCTGTCCTGCCCCTCCATGGGACAGGGAGGAGAACGCACCCTCCCTTGCAGTCACATTTCCCCCAAACACACACCCCCCAGCTGTGAAACCAGTGCCATGGAGAGGGAGGGCAGGCGGCATGGATTGTGGGCTGCCCCTCATCTCTCTGCCAGGCTGGCCGTAATGACTCTTGGTGGGTGTATGACACCCTTTCATCTTCTCAGGGCTCCGGGAGCCTTGGCATACGAGCCTTTGCCCCGGGAGGAGGTCGTGGCCAGCATCCCACCCATCAGATGACCGGGTCCCTGCCCTTCTGAATGCCTCAGTTTCCCCATCTGCGGAAAGGTGATAACACTAGAGATGTGCCTGACGTCCCAAACCTCCCTCAACTTTGGGAGAGATTCAGATACAAGCATTGTGAGTTAAAAGCATCTCTGAATAATCCCAGCTCGGTAAAGCAAGGCACTGTTATTACTGTTACCCCGAAAACATTTTGAGTTGTGGGGCTCTGAGGATGTGCTGGGAAAATCTCTCCCTGCTCCCGAAACTTTCTACGGAGAAGAGCACAGGGTGACCTCTCCTACCCTGAGCTCTGCTCACCTGGGCAGAAGCAGGCCCCTCTGCCTTGTGCAGTGCAGGGCACTGGCTGCTGTAAACAAAGCCGCAGAGAATCCAGGGCCCTTGCTTTCTGTTTAGGCTCCTGCTTTCTGCTGCCATCTGTCCCTGTCACTCGCTCGCGTCTCTGCAGCACCCCCTGTGGCAAGTGGTCGCTGGGTTTGAGTCTAATTGAGAGGACAGAGCATCCCCAGCATGTGTGAGATCCTTGCCCGCCCTCTGTCCCCTCCTCCCCCGTGTGGGTGGGGCAGAGTGAGTGCTCCGGGATCGGGGTGGGGGTGCTGCCAAGCATCCCAGGAATTTCCCCACCATCTCTCCCGACCTATTGGGGTCTTGGTGACAGATTCTGGGGGGGAACCTCAAAGCTAGGGATGGGTTGGGAATGAGAGGGGGGTTCACGACCCATTCAGTCCTTGGTTTCTCTGCTGAGTCCGCCCACCTAGGGTCAGTTAGCAGCATTTCTGGTGGTGCGCTATGTCCCCCTGGGAGCTGGACTGAGACCTGACAAACTCATTTCCCATGTGGCCACCGAATGGCTGTCAGCCGGGACCAGCTCTCGGTCACCACCCCGCCAGGCTGGATTTGAACCTGGTTGGGATCAGTGAATGTAATGAGTGGTTGTGTCAGCTCTAAGCCTCAGAGGATATCGAGTCACGTTCTGTGGCTGTACTGGAGAGGGGAGCGGGGAAGGCTGGGCTGTCCTGGGCTAATGATAACATGAGAAGCAATAAATCTGTCAGCCACGCTCATGCTCCAAGGCTTAAATGGACTGTCAAATGGGGTCAGGAAGGAATTCCACACACACAGTGACATGCAGACAGATGTGTGTACGCACACACTTGCTCCCTGACCTGCTGCAGGTTACATAAAGGGCCTGGGGCATTATGGCGTCACCTAGTTCATCATCCTCTGAGTGGGTGACCCTGCCCTGCACGTTGGGTCGCCGTTGGCCCCAGCGCAAAGTGGGTCTAAAATGCAGCCCCATAAAAAGGTGGTTCCTTCCCTGCCATGGGGTCAGTGGGTTTCATGTTTGTGGGGACTGTGTGGCTCAGTCTGCTCCACTCGCTCTCTGTGCTGAGCGCCTGCCCCACCCCAGCACTGGGGACTTAGGAAGGGGGCTTGGTTTGGATTGGATCCCAACCCCCTATTGGCCCCTCTCTGCTGCCTGCCCCCACACAAGTACATCCCCCTTTCCATCCCACCCGCCATAACCCGCTCTAGAACCCAGCTGTGCCACTCCTGAGCCTACCCCATGCTCCTATCCTTGCCAGCCCTCAGGATACGGGGCGCCTGATGGACTTGGCTTCACACAGCCAGGTCCCGCTGCCATGGAGTGGGCCCGCTCTGCTGTGCATAGGATTTGGCCATATTCAGCACAGGGCTCCAACCAGCTGGTGCGTCCCCACTGTGGGGCCTGCTGGGCCTTGCCCCTGTGCATCCCAGCCCCTCCGGTGACCGGCTCAGGGGGTTTTCTCCCCGGCAGTTGGAGAGGGATGTTTGTCTCTCCCATCCAGAGATTTTAAGTCTCCCACAGCTACATTGGCCAAGTCACCTCCATGCTCCCATAGCAGGGGTCTCCTGCCCCGAATGCTGGCTCATAAGGGGGTCTCCAGCCTTTTCTCAATATGTGGGGGGGGGGGGATTCCAGGTCTCTAGCCCCTGTCTGTCCCCAGGGCAGCTTCCAAGCCTGGGGCAGGGTGTGTGCAGCGTGTTGGGGCGGGTGCCCACTGGCGCAGGGACTCAAGGTGCCCACTGTGCTCTTGCTTTGCAGTCAATGCCACCAGCGGTGCCCCCGGAGCCCCAGTCTCCAGGATGTCCCAGCTTTCCTCCCCGCTGAAGCGCTATGGAGACACCTCCCGCTACCCCGCCTCCTCCTACAGTAAATCCCCCACCAGCTACGGCTCCTACTCTTCCTATGGCTCCAGCTTTGTCGCCTCTTACCCGGACAAGGACAAGGTCAGCTTCAAGCCGAGCCCCCCCAGCAGCTATCTGCCCTCCGGCCGGCTGCGGACCTCGGGGACCTCCCCGACCAGTAGCTGCGATGCGGGCCGTCTGGCGCTGTGCCCAGAGTCCAGCATCAGGCTGAGCCCGAGCTATGGCCGCATGCTGGCCAGGCCTCTGGGCAGCGGGGGCCTGAGCGGGGGAGCCTGCTATGCCTACACCGGCACCACCAGCAGCCCCACCAGCTACATGGCGACACCGTCCACGCTCAGCCGCAAGAAGTCCAGCAGCCACTCGGACCTGGCGCGGGAGTTCGCCGGGCTGCACACCTCCGAACCCTACCGCCTGGACTCACCCACCCGCACCCCACTCCTCGCCCGCAACCGCCAGGAGCTCTGTGCCCTGCAGAGCCTGTATCAGGCCGCCAGCCGCTCCGAGTACGTCAAGGAGTACCTGGAGTCCTGCAGCAGGAAGGACAACAGCACCCCCGGCTGCTCCCGCAGTCCCACCCAAGAAGTGCTCACCCCTATGCTCCGGCCCAACAGCCGCTGCCCCAGCCAGCCATGGGAGAGGAGTGAGAGCCGGACAGACTCCCCAGCCAGGGACCCCTCGGTAGGTGCTGCCGGCTTGGCGCGGGGATCTCGTGTGTTTGGGGGGGGGGAAGTAACCTCGCGGGGCTGCTGATGGGGAGCAGGGACAGGGAGGAGAGAGGCTGCCCATGGGGCACAGGTGGAAGAGCAGGTGAAGTGTTGGGAGGAGGCCCAAGAATAGAGCAGCCTGAACCAAATCCACCTCCTGATCCAAGCTTCACAGCTGTTCCCCACCCCCAAACCTGAGCCCCACAGACACTGAGGAGAAGCCACACCTGGAGCCAAATGCTGTGCATGCCCCCCCTGAGCTATAGCTCAGCCTATAGCTGGGTGGGGGCAACTCGGGGTGATGCAGCCCCACAGGCATGCGGCCGAGTGGGTGTGAGCCCGGCTGGACTCACTGATGGGGCTGGAACAAAACATCCTGCTGCCCGTGGCTGATCCACCCTGGGTCTCTGTGAACTGCGGTCTCCAGCTGGCCTGGCTCAGATGGGTGGTGTGGCTTAGTGGGTAGAACACTGGGGCTTAGGAGAGACCCAGCTTCTATTCTCAGCTCTGTCGCTGGCCTGCTGGGAGACCTTGGGCAAGTCACTTTAACCTCCCCGTGCCTTGGGAAGAATGATACGGACCCCTGTGGTAAAGTGCGTTGAGAGCTGCTGATGAGCGTGCTCGAGAAGAGCTAGGTGGAATTATCAAATGGTGCAAAGATACCTCACAAACACCCCCGTGTGCTGTGAAGTCATCAGCTCGGTTGAGTTCCCATCACTGAAACCACCTCACTGCTGACACTGCCCGGCCCCCTTACTGGCAGTCTGGGCAGTGAGGCTAAGGACTGAATGGGTGGTGCATAGAAACTGAGCTACCCTGTATATGGGGCGGCGGGGGGGCGGGGAGGGGGGAGGATGGGGAGTCCCTGATCCCAAGCTGCACCTCCCAGATTCACATTCCCTCGGGAGAGGGGTGGGCTGGATTTCCAGTGCCTTTGGGCTTTAAACCACCCAAGCCCCCTCATGTGTCTTTTCCCCTCCAATAGTAGAGGGAATGGGCAGGATTGGCTCATCCCAGTGAGGTTTCGGGCTGGGGTCTGCTCACAGCATCCCTTGCTCACTCACAATGAGGAGGGGTTTGTACCTGGGGGCACAGCTGGAAGTGGGGGTGGGGGAAGTGCCAATGCCCCCACCCCCTTCAATCCTTTGATCTGGTTCTCATCACCCACGGGAAGGACAGCCCATGGCTGCGGGGGTGGGACCTGAGGTCTGTGGGCTCCGTCCCAGGGCACAGAGCGTGCTTGGGGCAGCTGTGATCTGTGATAGGGCACCTGCTTCTTGCTGGCCAGGTGCTACACATGAAACCTGTTAACCTGTCACCCGCGGCCCAGACCCTGGTCGGGGTGGCTAGTTTCTGGCAGCCCCTGGTGCCTTAGGGTCTGCTATCGGAATGGAGAGAATCCCGCGGATCCTCCCCTGAGCCCCAGCTTCACTCACCCTCCCCGTGCACAGATCCCTGGGAGGAGGCAGGGCAGAGAGGGGGCCCTGGGTTCTTGCCGTGGCATACTCCTGAGAGATTTCTAGGCGTGCCCTGAGCGCTTCTCAGCTGCCTGTTGACATGCTGCGTGTGTGTGTTTGTGTGCGCACGCGTGCCAAAGCTGATATTAAACAATTATACCTGTTCTGTAAACTCTGGGGATTGGAGTCCGGGAGAGAATGCGAGATGGACACAGAGACCTAATTAGGGGCACTGAGCCGCGTAGCCAACTCACCCTTTGGCTTCCAAGCCTCCCCCTCTGGCCTAGGCTGTGCAGGGCCAGGTTCTTCCGGGAGTCCTGTTCCAGGGACCCAGTCCAGCCAGACATCCTCGCACTGTGGCTGCCCTGGGGCAGCTGGGGGGTCAAACCCATCCCCTTCTGCTGCTGCCAGAGGGGGCATCAGCTCCTCTGATGCTGCATCCTTGTGCCGTTGCAGCAACCCCTTCATCATCCCACCGGTAGCGGGTCTGTGCTGCCAGTTTCTGGGTGTTCGGGAAGCCTAAACCGCTGGCTCTGGAGCTGTGGTCACAGCAGGCTGGGGAGAGGGCAGGTCAGGAGGGAGGGGCATTGGCAGAGCTGTGCGTGGGACGCCAAGGACTGGAGTGGCAGGAGATGCAGCCGGGCAGGACTGCATGTGAGACATTTGCACCACACCTGCACCCGCTGCCTCTGGCCCCCGCCCAGTCCGTTCTTTGCTGTCACGAATCACCCCAATCAGCCCTGCTTGTCTGGCATGGACCAGGCAGCGCTTGCAGCTGGAGACGCCCATCTGGGGCGGCTGGTTTGGTGTGTACCAGTTACTGTACAGTGCAAGATGGGGACACGGTCCTGTTTCCAGAACCCAACCGCACCCCTCCCAGCTGTGCCATGTTGGAGCTTCCTGTGCCCTACTTATCCCCGAGGCCGTGGGGCTGGGCACCTGGACCAGAAAACAGGGTTCCCATGCAGAGCTGATGAGAGGGAGAACAGGTGGACAGTTGTACTGGGGCCCCAAAACATCTGTAACGTGCATGTAAATTAAGTGAAATAGGAAGCAAACATGATGTACCAGAGACCCAAATTTCTCTCCACGGCCCTGTTCTCATGTGACTGTCACTGGGAATATCCAGTCCCTTTCCTCTCTGCTGAGATGCCTCGGCTGTATGGGACAATGGATCCGTTCAGTGGCACCATTAGGCAAGGGACTTTTTAGCCAGGGAGGGAGCAGCAGCCTTCTCTGGCATTTCCCTGGCTGCTGGTTTCTGGTGAACTGTGACGCGGGCAGTGGAGCATTTAATACCCTGGGTACAGATCAGAGACGTCGTGTCACCAAAGCCCCAGCCCAGGGCTGAGCCTCCCACGCCCACAGCCCATCATGTGAGCACATGGGACCAGACTGGTAATTTTCCACTTGGATTTCATTCCAAGATCTCGTCTCAGCCCCTTGGTCGCTTTTTCTGTCCCTCTCTGCCCTTCCTCCCCAGGGGAAACGAGACTGGCTGAGTAAAGGGCCCTGGGCCTGGGACTTGCTGTTGGGCCTTGGGATTGGGCTAAGAGACGGTGACTAGCTTCAAGCTGCTTTGCTTTCATACAAGTTCTGCCCCCCTTGCCCAGGGGGCTCTGTTTTCTCACTGTGGGTTTGTAGAAGGAGCTGGACAAGTGGAGAGAGATCCTGAGAATCAGCTGTGTGGGGAGGGGGGAATCTTGTGCACCCCTGGCCCCCACCCTGCCCTAAATTCCAGCGGCTGGGCCAGGGCTCTAAACTCGGGGATCACATCTGTATTTGAGGAGAAATTGCTTTGGGAAGAGCAGTAACAAAATCCAGCTGCTTGGGGCGGCCCCATCAACCACATCCCTCCTGTTCTCTCACTGCAGATATCAGGCAAAAGCCTGCCACAGCAGGCCCCTGGCAGTGGTAACAGGCACCAAAAATAGCCCCAGTAGGAAGACAGGAGCTGCCCGGGCTCCACAGAGATCAGCCTCCGACAGCGGCCACCACCAGCTGGGCCGGGGGAGAGACGAGGACCCGCGTTGCTCCAGCTCCCTGACCCTAAGCACTTGGGCCCAGATCCTCAAAGGTATTGAGACTCCCAATCCCACTGGTTTCTGGGCCTTAGTGCTTAGCTTATGCCGCGTAGGGGAGGCACCTACAGTACTGAGGCTGTGATGTGACTGGGACCTACCCGGAGGGCTGCTGGCCAATGCCCCCGTGGGTTAGTCCATCCTGAGAGGCCACTGGCTGATGTCAGTGGCTATTTGTCCACTAGAAGTGTTCTGAGGTGTTTAACCCTGGTGTGCATGCCCCTGGGGCCTTGGAGAAGCTCAGTGGAGACTCTGGGCCTGATCTCCACCCAGTGGTTATACAACCAACCAGGAAGGAACTGGCTGCGGCGGGGCAAGGCAGGAGTCAGGCAAGCTCAGGGCCGGTCCGTGGGGCTGCAGTGCCAAGGGGGTCAGGTTTCAGAGTCCTGGTGAGTGAGTCTGCAGCCGGGTGGCTCAGTCCCTGCCTGGGATGTTCAGAGCCCTCTTGCTGCTGGGATGTCGGCTCGTCCCCCCGCCCCAAGGCTGTCTTACACCACGGGATGGGGCAGCCGTAGGCGTCAGGTCATGGCTGAGTACGAGAGTGTCTGGGCTCCAGGGCTGATCTGGGGGGGCAGGACTGGGGAAGCTGCCTGAAAATGCCCAGCTGTATCCAGGAATTGTCTCCTCTGGGGGGCCTCCAGCAGCCCCCAATACATCCCTGGTCAGGCACGTGGGGACGCTGCAGTTTTCTTGCCCTGCACAGATGCAAACCCAGGTCTGTGCTGTCCTGCCCCAGTCCTGGAGGCTTGGAAGTGGACGAGGGCGGTCAGGAGTCTGGGGGACTCCCCTTTTCCTGCCTGGTGGTCTACCCCTGAGTGGCAAGAGGAGGGTTTTCAGGCTGTTGATTTCTTTCGTCCAGGCATTGCACTGCGGGCACTGGCTGAGGCATTCGCATAAGCAACCGCGTGTACAGCCCTGCCCCGCACACCAACACTAGCTCACACCCCAGCGTGCAGGGCTGCAGCTTGCCAGGGCCAGTCTCCCCTGCGGTGTTGCCCACTGGCACCATGCTCAGCTGGGCTCAGCCCTTTTCCTGCCTCGGGCTGAGGCTGAGCCTTGCTCGAGGGCAAGGGGTGCCTGCACTGATCTGTGCAGTTCCCTGGCATGCACAGAAATAGGAGACCCCCCCCCCGCTCTTTCCTTCCCCTCCCAGACTGACCCTGTCTTGCCATGTTCAGGAGCCTGGCTTGGGGAGCGGAGTTGGGGCAGGTTCTCTCCAGCCCTTGCTGGCAGGTCCCCACCAGGGACATTACATAACAGGCTTAATCCCTCCTTAATCCTCCAGTCTCTGTGTCTGACTTTCCCACCATTACTTTCTCTCTTATTTCAGCTCTTGCCCTGTTTCTTACTGCCCTTTCTCCCAGAGGGGACGGCTTCCCCAGCATCTCTGGAACCACAGGGGCGAACCCTGGCAGGGCCAGCTTGGCCCTTCTCCT